AATGGGGGAACTCTAGGAAGTTCTCTAGGAATGATTGTTTTATTTTAACTAACAAGGTGAGGAGCACAAGCTGGAGGAACAAACATAGAAAAAAGAACCACCAGAAGCAAATGGCTGAGTTTAAATAACCGAGGAGGTAAATGGAGAGGCGGGGCAGGTGTGAGTGATAGTGATTGCTAACAATGGACAGGTGAGAATCATTGAGAAATGGAAGGCAAAACAAAACTCAAGAGGAGGAGAACTGAAAAATGAACAAAACAATAAATAAGAGTAAACTAAAATAAAACAATGCTAGAGGCTGAATGAAATAAACAGGGAGAGGCTAAATGTGGATGATAAAATCTAAGGATAAAAACTAACTGAAGACCAACTTATGAAGATAAAATAAACTAGAAACAAGAAGCAGGAAAATGAGGCTAAGACACAACAGAACAGAAAACAACAAACATAAACATAGCTGCGACCGAAAGGCTGGGAGAAAGTATGTAAATAAATGAAACCATAAACGGTGAATAAACTAAGGAAGAAAATACATGAGTCTAAAATGAAATTTGTGAAAGGGGGATAAAAATAGTTATTTGGGATTTCCACAGGGTTTTGTACTCGGCCCCATCGGTGCATTCATGTTTCCCTTGCATCATCATCAAACAGAATTTAAAAATGTGTCAATCGCAAATAGACAAGATACCTATTTCACACCTTTCAGAGCAACAATAGGCACAATATATGATAGAATATCACAGTTGGCACTATTGAGTTGTAATTTTTTCCAAAATATAAGTTATTTTTGTGAGCCATTACCTCTACCCAAAAATAATATATATAAAAGATTCACCTGTAGGAATTCCATCCACGTCATTACAGAACTCCGGATTCCCAGAAAGCAGCCTTTGCAAAATGCCAGCAGCGGTGCACTGGTGGCTGACATGTCCTGAGTGCACACACACACACACACACACACACACACACACACACACACACACACACACACACACACACACACACACACACACACACACACAACGGATTCAGAGATACGCCGGGCTGACCGCTGGGGAGAACCGGGTGGAACACAGGGGTCTCCTGAGAGCTCCACAAGCCTGCAGCCCGCACAGCAGACAGGCACAGCTGTGTTCAGAGATGCGCCGAGCTGCCGCTGAAGGGAGGGAGACCATACCGATAGTCGGAACCCTGCTTCACCAACATGTCAAATTTCAACTCATCTTCAAAAATGCTGCGTTATGTTAAACGCACTGGGTTTTACCCTAGTAAATTTAAATTTCATGGTTAAACAGTACACGTTAAAATCTAAGCTCAGCTAGTGAAAGAACACACAAACGGCACAACTAATGGTCTAAGTTGCGAGACTGAAAATGGTGGAAAAGTTTGAAGGAGAGGCTCAGACTGAGGCCTTTCCCTGCAGCTTGCTCTGCAACCACGTGGGTCAGATGCTCATTAATTATACAGAATTTTAGGATTTTAATACACTTAAACAGAAGAGTGACAAAAAGTTCACCCCCCTCAGAGTTGTCATGAGTGTAAACTAGATAATTTAAACAAAAAACATGTTTTGGTACCAGGCTGTAAACATGTTTATTTCTGCTGTGAAATTGGTATTTTTAACATGGGAGTCAGTGAGGATTTGCTCACTTCTGACACCAGCCCCCAGTGGATGAGGGTGGAACTGCAATTTATGTCACTTCCTGTTTTGCTTCATATCCAGACCCGAAATATGGGAGCTTGTTTAACAAGCAGTCCGTAAAATCACAGTCCAACCAGATCCAACCATTTCTGCCAACTAAACTCTTCCCCAGGAAGACGGGAAAGGGGTTCTGTACCTAGAAGACAAAAATCCACTTTTGAGTTCTAGGCATTATTTAAGCGACAAGGAAATCCCTTCTTCACAACTGTGGAGATTAAAGTCCTTGCTAGCCACACAGAGAGACTGGGTGTTAAGCCTAGTTTATACTTCTCTGTTTGCGTTGGCACGGAGACACACAACGCCATTATGTGTCGACGCAAGAGCCCTCTGACAGGCTTGCAGAGGAAGACGGAGACATGCCCCAGTTTTTAACTATCCATTGAAAGAGACAGAGAACGCAAGCTTGTGATTGGTCAGAACGCTGCTTTCTGTAAATTCGTCAACAGCATTATCTTTGCCTCTTCAAAAAGTAAAGAGATATTTAGCGGCAGACACAGAACAGATTGAAGAATGCATCACGGAAAACGTATGAAAATATGAACGATTATTAACCCATGACTGAAGGAGTACAAAAGCAGCAAGCGTTTTATTCGTGGATGGAAAAGACAAGAAATGTGAGTTTAGAGGTGCCGATTGCATGATGAAGTGGGGGGGAATGAGGGACATATTTGTCCATGTTGAAAAGTCTCTGAAACAGGGGCGGCGTTAGGCCCGGCTACTTGGGCTGAAGCCCCGGATGTTTTATGAAAAGCCCCGGATCTAAATCGTGGAAGTAACATGCAGTACCAAAGTCCAACAGAGAGGGAGCAGCTGGCAGTAGTTTGTATACAGCCTGCCTGAGCCTCCACCACTGAAGAAGAAGCCCTTCAGCAGGCGGCTTCTTCTGCAGTCTCTGCCTGAAGCGCATGAGTGAAGATGGACATAAGGACGTTTTTTAGACAAAAAGTACAACGACAGAACCCCAGCTTTGATCAGACTGGTGTTGACTCAGGTTTGTGAGTCTTATTTGAAAATATTTGTTGTGCTGCTGGTTTGCCTAAAGTTAGCTTACTAGTTGTTGGAGAAAGAAAGGGAATATTACCATCTCACACTAAACACTAACAGGAACAATAATACTCTGCCCTGAAAATGCTTAATATGTAGCTTCAGATTAAAAATTATGTGGTACAAAACGTATGCGATGTTGACTAATGCGTGTCACGTGTGTGTGTGCGCGTGTGCGCGCGCGTGTGCGTGTGCGCGCGCGTGCGTGTGCGCGCGGACGTGTGTGTGTTAAGCCCCGGATCTTCTTCAGTCCTAAATCCGCCCCTGCTCTGAAATACATTAAAACAATGTAAGCACAACAGTAAATACACTGTCATGGACCGGATACTGACTGTAATTGCGGCAGGATAACCCAGAATAGCACAACGCCCTCTGTTGTCCTGTTGGGGAATTGTTTTGCAACAATCCCCAGCTGACTGATGGTCTGAAAGCAAAACGTCTCTGTTGGTGTGCGTGCATCTCTCCCTCACGGAGCTGACAGAGAAGTAAAAATTAGACTTTAGTGTTTACAGTCCAGGGGTGGAGGGATGCAGATTAGACACTCCCTGGATGGGATAAGCGGGGCATGATGACACAACCGTGCCTCATCCAGGCATTTGCAATAGCTTAGCAGAGCTGAAGGGAAGAAACATCTAACACAGGAAAATGCTTGCATGAAGCCAAAAAATACTTTAGTGGTATTTTTCATTAGGAAATAACAATATAACATAGTCAAAAGATCCAAAAAGTGGATTTTGTATGATATAGTCTCTTAAGTAAAAACGAACACTGTTTCATTGGATTACAAGCATGTAATAAATATATAAATCACAAAAGGCCATAAACTTTCCCCTTTTTGCTAAAAAAAATCATCTTTGAGCTTTAATTGCAACCATGAAATTATTGTACGCTTGAGTTTGACCTCTATTGTGACAAACCTTCACCAGAAAATGCTTGTTAACTCGTACCTGACCACCTTCTTTTACCTGTATTGTCTCACCAGGACGAAGACCATCTTAATTTAGAAAAATGAACTCATTCTTGCATTTACTGATGTATCGGTCGATGGTCGCTTTGCATCTCAGCAAACTCCTACCCTAGCCTTTCACCAAGTAGTTGTCATTTTGTGTGAGGTGATTACAATTATGCACATAATGTTGATTTTTCATACCAATAGGAAATGTAACTGTTCCCATTCTGCAACCTCTTATAACCCTGCTGAGCTGCTTGTAATTATAGTGTACTTCCAAGTCCTACATTAAGGTCGTGACCCAGGTGGGTACAGAGTGGATAGAAGGGGTACGAAGATGGCTGAAGCATGTGCACTGAAAGTATGTTGTGACCCAAGCTTAAAATGCAGAATTTGACCCAGACTCCATTTATTACTCTAAAACCAGACTACTTATTGGACATAAACACGTTTTCTCTGTCCCTGAACACGATCAGGATAGGGGTTTCAGTTTGATGAAATCTCAAAGAGATCTGGAGATTTCTTACAAATCATACTATAACACAGGAGAGGATTTTAGCTTCGATCTAGCGAGATCTATGTTGAACTCGTGTTTTAAAGTCACTTATATCCAACCTTAAACGTCAAACCTCCAGCCCAAACTCTGCTGACCTAAACACGTTCGCCTTAATTGACTCCATCCTGGCTTCTCTCCTCTGACTGCGGGTTTCTGGTGAAGTGCGACGCAGACCACAACAGTGAAGGGTAGTGTAGCCTGTCTGCCTCAGTTCTGATGCCTTCATATAAATGGTTTGCACTTCCAAAAGCTGTGACCTGGGCAAACGTCACACAAAGAAAGAAAGAAAGACCGTCAGCCTTGAGCTCCAGGCAACAAATGAGAGTGGAGGAAGTCTGAAGATAAACACTGACAATTTCTTTCTCCTTTTCCTGTTTAGTAAGTAAGAGAGAAAAGGGACAGAATGTGCTCCTGCAAAAGGCGGATTAGGACAGTTGTACTTATGATTCCTTTTACTGTGTTTGCAAGAAATTATATATATATATATATATATATATATATATATATATATATATATATATATATATATTAATATAGCTTGTTGTTCCAGCTGCTGTTTCAGAGTCGACTCAGCAGCTTTTAATCCGTTTTGCTGAGCAACAACACAACACTCACTGCAGTAATTGCCTGTCTTTGGCCTCCACTACCAGAGTTACTGCTCCTGCTTTCGAAAGCTAACCAGGATTGTCTTGACAGATGAATGGAGACAGTGGGGTAACTGATTTATTCTGTGATCGACTGCCTCCTAGGTAAAGGATGAAGCCCAACAGCCCCAGATGGTGTTCACTGTGCGCCACGCAACCGTGACCTTCCAGACAGACGGGGACACATGGCGCGAGCAGAAGGAGAAGAAGGCGGCCCTTATGGTTGGAATTTTGATCGGCGTCTTCGTGCTTTGCTGGATCCCCTTTTTCATCACCGAGCTCATTGTGCCGCTGTGCTCCTGTGACATCCCACCGATTTGGAAGAGCATCTTCCTTTGGCTCGGCTACTCGAATTCCTTCTTTAACCCGCTCATATACACTGCCTTTAATAAGAACTACAACAACGCCCTGAGGAACCTCTTCTCCCGACAGCGCTGAGACCTGCTCTACGCCTGGCCGACTAGCTGCACCCGCTCACACTGTGTTACTTTTCCAAACAGAAACTGTCTTTTTAAAAACAGAACATCGTTATGTCTTAATTTGTATGTGTTAATGTATTTTGCTCATTAAAGGTGTGGAACACTCATTTAATCAATGCATTTGCAGTGGTCTCTAGCAGGAATGAATGCCTTGTAAGTCATGCTCAGAGGGGAGCGCCTGTATCTGCATGGAGGAGTCAGGTGGAGGAGAGAGTGGGAGGACACTGCAGGATTTGGAGTCTTATTTCCTGAAATTTGGACATCTTGCCTCTGATTTGCTAACAGCTACACAACTCTACCACTGACTCGGTTTGCTCTGCAGCGTTGATGTTTTATCTCCACAAATAACACAAGCCTGGAGGAGTTCTGCTGTGTGGTGGAGTTGCTAATGCTAACGATTAACTTATGCTAGCCAAGCGTCTGGTGTTTCCTAGACGCTAAACCAACAACAGCCTTCCCCGTTGTGAGTCAAGATGGGTGGGTCAATGAATGAGAGACGGCGTGACGTAGATCTGTCAGGATCTTCATATCCTAGAGTTTCAATGTCTATTTTCTATCAGAAGCTAGTGCATGAGATAGGTGTTGGAGACTATTTTCATGTTCAGCCTGCATGAAAAACACAGAGTGACCATTATAATTAGAAATAATCATTAAAAAAATGTTTTTCAGTGTTCCACACCTTTAAGGAGTCACCTCGCTGTGGTACTGGGATAAATGGCTGCCAATGTCTTCAAAGTGGAGAATTAATTTCACTTTTTGCCATGCTGTCCACACGTACAGCCAAATAAGGACAAACACTCACAAAATCATCATGTATGAGGTGAAACCATAATAGAAACACTTGTTTAAAATAAAAAAATCTGTAAGACCAAGCCAAAATAAAACTCGCTGGTGCCAAAACGAGTCTGTAAAAAAAAAAACATTGAAATTATCATTATAGATGTCGTTTTTACACAAAAGGAAAAAAATTAATTATAGAAAAAGATGGATTGTTGAAGATAAAATCCCTTCATGAAAGCCATAATCTATTCAGCTGTGGGACTGAAAAATGCTGCCACTTTATTTATTCACACACATTTGCAGATAAAGGTACATTCTGTCCTCTGATGCTAAATAGCTATACACTACCTCCCACATGAGAGCTATTACTTTCCCAATCTTAGGAAGAATTGCTCTGAAGAAAACTAATGTCAGTTCGAACTATCAGAGGGTACAAAAGGAGGTTTTACGAGGAAAAAGGCTCTCTGAGAGCATAGTCATCCAGATACAAAGTGCTCTCAGTCTGAACCAACATTTAACAGCTTCTACTCAATCTTTCCTCCAAGTTTTCTGAAATTCTATGTCATTTTTTTCATGGGAATACAGAAATCTAAACAACTTGGGGGGAAACACATCATTTGAGGCCCACTTTGACTGAAAAATATTATTTTGTATAAAAGGTGGAGAGCCTTGGGTAAGAAATGACATATTAAGGACAAGTCAAGCAGAATCGATTTAGAGAAGGAATACATGGCAGCATGAGTTGCATTACTGTTTTGAGATTATCCACGATTGTTTAGGACGAAAAATGTGATAACATAAAAGAAAATGCCAAATGTGCTCCGAGAAAAGAAAAAAAGTTATATCTCACTGATGTGATGATTTCCAGTTGTGAATTTCTCTTTTTTTTTTTTTTTGTACAATATGTTTTTTTTCCTAGCTGAAAAAGCTGAAAGTATGAATCCATCAAAGTAGAACCACTGAGTGAACCTCCATTCACGTGTGTATCAAAGTAATGTGACAAATCAAGCATGGGAATAAGCTATCCTACATGTAGTTGTGCTGCATTAGAGATAAACATCAAAGTCTCTTGCACCATTTTTGATGGGAGGAAAATAATTGCATTTCTTCACACTGAAAAATGTGACTTTTGTGGCAAAAAAAGATGTTTTTAAGTGTGTGTCTTCATTCTTTAAATAAAGTGAAAATGAGGAAAAATTGTCTGACTATATAAAACATTGGTTCCCAAGGCATAATGAAAACAGTTACAGTTAGTGTAGTTTTATAGGTTTGTCAACAAAATACTAATAATTTCAGTATGCTAACGTGTTCTGGCGAAAAGATGCCCTGTAATTCTTCATTCTGTAATTATTTTGGAGATTTTTCAAGCTATACTAGGCGTTAGTTCTCCTGTTTGCAAGAAGTGACATATGTCTGTCAACCAATCAGTGGACTGTGTTGTTGCTCCACCCTAACCGTACCGCTCCAGGAATTTCTGGACCTACAACAGAAGGGAGCCCAGAAAATCCCGTGACTGGCGTGGTCCATGTCGTTTGTCTGGACCGGTTTTACAATCAGAACAGAAAAATTAGCGACCCGATCCTTCCCATTCCATGCCAGTTTGGGCGGTGGAAAAGACCTTGTCGGCTTCCTATGGAGTCCAAACCACATTCCTTCTGGTCTAGTCACAAATCATGGATGTAATTTTCACTTTGGAAGTGAGGGGGGGTGGGGGGGGGTGTCAATTTAATATAGCATAATATTGTTTTTGGATGGTAAAAAGTGCAGAGGGCAAAACTTGACTTTGGAAAACGTGGGGGGGATATGTCCCCCCCCCCCAAAAAAAAAATTACGTCCATGTCTGTTAAGAACAGACACTAACCTCTCAAAAGAGGTTCAGTCAGGACACCAAAAACATGTGGCTAAGCACACCTACAAAACCAACACATTCTCACCCCTAAGCGTCGTAAACAAACACTTGGTCAGCCACCCTCCACGTCAGACCCCAGACGCCAAAAGTGCCCTTTTTCATTACTTATGTGCGAAAAGGGGTTTTTCCTTTTTGTAACTGCAGATCCCAATGCAGCGTAAAACTGACATGATTAGATATCCGCTGATGCGGCACCGAACCAGCTCGTTTAACCGCACCTAAACCTTAACGTTTCGCTATTTATAACCTTCCCCTCTCCCTCATCCTAACCTTAACCCTCTTGCTACCTAAAACGTTACTCTCACTGTGATCAAGCGTTTGTTTCCCATGCAGTGACTGTGACAGTCAGTCTGACTGTGAATTTTCGTATTTGCCGCACAAGGGAAACGTTAGAACATACCATCTAGCGAGGGGGAGGTTACACATACCCTCTCAACTACCCCTGACTGCATCCCGGAGATCGGGGCGGGGCTAAATGTGGGCGGGGTCAAACGTTTAGAGGTGGGCGGAGACAACTATTTGACTCCTGCGTCCTGCCCCACTCTCAATGGAACCAGGAAACCGCTATGCTATATGTGTGTGTGCAATGCTGTGACAGGTGTCGGGACAGAGGGAAGTAGCTGCCAAAATGGAGGTAAGCTAGGATTTTTCTTTCTCTGTTTTAACAATATCGAGGACCAATGTTGGGCGAACGTTTTATAAACTTGGAAATTAAAGGTTTTTTTCCCATTATGAGTTTTAGATGATACATATAGCCTATTTTACACATGCGGGGCGACTTACTTTTGAGGAGAAATGTTTACAGGGTTCCCACGGAGTCTTAATGAATTTATGAATTTGAAAGTAATACCTTTAAAAGACTGGCGAAACCCTTCAATTTTGGCATCTGGGTCTTAAAATTTGTGTTGGATGTAAGTTTTCTGTACTGCATTTTTCTTCTGAAGTTCATCAAAATATTCCAAACAAGTGATGACACCAAGAGAAGCACTATTTTTAGACATTTATTTCAATTTTGTGTCTTTACTGTTTGCACTGTTGCTTTTATACAATAGAAATACTGCAAGAAATTAGGGTAATAAAATTAGCAATAATAAAAAAAATGTCTTAAAATTAAACTAAAATATAGGCAACAAAAATTATTAAGGTTCTAATGTCAAACCAGATCGGTTATATTTTTAACCATTTGTTTAAAAATATAACTGATCTTCTACCAAGTGCCCACCCAGTGTTTTGTCAAAATATATTGGTAAAGTTGTATAGATAAATAAATGAAATTAGTTCAATAATTTTATTTTATTTATTTACTTTTTTGCTGATAGTGCCGTGAAATAGGTATTAATTTTCCATATGGCTTTAGAAAGATCTTAAACAGACTTAAATTTAAGTTGAAGAAACCTGTAGGAACACTTTTATAGCTTTGGGGAGATATGTTGTGTAGTCATGATTACTTTTTGGTGGAAAATATATTTTACAGGGGGAAATATGTTAGTTTTTTAAGCTTTTTATGTTCGTATCTGAGTTCTACACCTGATGGGCTTTATTATTATGGTTAGAGTGCTAATCTGATGTGTGTAATTATATAAACGTTTTGCTCAGTCAAGTGTCAACAGAATAACATGAATGTTTTCATAGTGAATGAATGTTGTCATTGTATCACCAAGGTCTGAGGAAGACAGAGTGCAGGCACGAAAAAGACGGAGAGAGGAAAGAGTAAAACAGGTGAGAGACAATTTGATTATTTCTTGTAGTTCAACTGTTGCTTGCAGACTGAAACATAATTCCTTCACTTATTTCAGGGCCTGGAAGTGGTCCCTCCTAAGAAGTCCTGCCATACTGAATTAGTCTGTGCAGCATCAGGTATTGTTCAAACAAGTATTATTGTACACAACCCCCTAGGTTGTCGAAATGGGATGTGGGAAGATTCAAGATTCAACCTTTTGTCATATGCACAGCTAGAAAAACACGCTTTCTGCACAATGAAATTGTTACTTTGCCAAGATTAGAAAATTAAGACCGTTCCAGACAGAGCACTTTTTTTTTCAAAGCAAGTTTTTCAGTCATTTCTCTATTTTCATTAAACCAGAATACTAAGCAACTGATCTTTTTTACAACTTGCATCGTTAATATGCTTTTTATGAACCACAATCTTTTTCCTTTCTAGCAGAGGCTGACAACTTGCTGGAACTGGACTTTTCTTGTGTCATTGTTTCTTCTCCAACCTTTATTTTAATTAGAGGTGTCAAATAATTCCATTACTTGCAATTAATTTTTTACAGCCATGATTAACGTGTTATATATTGTAATTATGTTTATCATTTTTAATCTACTGCTTCTTTATGGGACTTTTAAATAAACCAATTTATTTTCTTGTTCTTGAAGGGTTGATGTAAACTCATAAGTTGAAGGGTTGACGTTACAGTGACAAGACCGGTGAGAGATTAGCTGCAGCAGTGTTTATTTCAGCGACCTTGTTATCTTTACTCCGTTTTTTTCACCCTTCTTGCAACTTTTTCCAAAGTTATTGTTACCATTTGGATGTAATGGGTGTGTCGCTGAGTATCAAGGCTGCTGACAGCTTCTCTCCTGTATCAGACGCACCTCCGTGCTGCAGTTTGGAAAGACCACAGCATCAGCTGTTTGGCTAGCTGTTAGCATTGAAAATAAGGCTTATATTATGTACAGTTATTAGATTAAATTGAAAGATTAGATTACTTTCAGATCATACATAATTAATGTAAAACATGTTTTTAATCTCTTGACAGCAGTAATTTTAATATTGTCTTTATTTTTGATTAGGAGAAGTCTCTGCTTGAGGACACCTTTGAGGCAGCAAGGTGGTGTACCACAAGGTCCTTCAAAGGAAGCCTTTCCCTTCCCCAGGTCATCACCATGGACAGGGAAGCTTGCCGGAGGGCAGTGGAGAGGTTATGCTTCTGTGATGGCCTGGATGAAGAGGAGATGAACGATTGCAGGGAACCGTTCCTGTTCATGTTTAGTTTTCAGTCAGACTATGAGGAGTTCTGCAGAGAAATTGAGGAAAAAAGGAAGATGAAGGTGTTTTCTGGTTTTGAAATGCCATAGTACAGCGGTGTCACAGTTTTTGCATTCTTTTTCCTCCTCACATTGTTTTTTTGGAGGTTCTCTTGTTTTTTGTGTGCTTTTTGGTTCATTTGTTTGTACTTTTTTTTTATTCCTGTGTTGGCTGTTGTTTGCTCTATTAAATTTACCTTTTTTGAAAAATTTAGTCTGCATTCTTGGGTGTCTCACACAATGTCTCACCACCCCGCCTCAAACCCTGGCATGTTTTAAGAAGTATCAACACAATTTAAGTCTCTGTTCCTCTTAATGTAGCTGATATAACGGAGTGTACAACAAATTTACCTGTGTCTGTCTATACTGTTTTACACTCACTTGGGAAATGACTATTAAAATAAAGGTAGCATTGATAAAATCAACTATTAAAATGGTTTTGACAGGTTCAAAGAATAGTCTTATAAATGCCTGAACCTTTTATAGAGGTACCAAAAGTATAGCTAAAAGACACAAATACCTATGTGCTATAAATACACATACCATACAAAAGTAGAAAAAAGAATAAAAATATCAGAACAGATTGGATCAAAAATGGCGCCTGTAATTATCTGCTCTTTAAAATTATCATGACATCCAGCAAATAAGTCATTTGATTACCAATGTTATGCTTTACATGGGTTTTGTGGGTTTTTAGGGCTTTCTAATCCTTAGAAAGGGGCTACTCGCAGTTTCCTGGTTCCATTGAGAGAGGGGCAGGAGTCAAATAGTTGTCTCCACCCACCTCTAAACGTTTAACCCCGCCCACATTTAGCCCCGCCCCGATCTCCGGGATGCAGCCAGGGGCTACTCTACCCTCTACTTTTAACCTCCCCCGTGGTAGTTGAAACCTCCCCCTCGCATTGGCTCGGTCCAAACTCGACCAATCACGAGGCGGCTCCCGCCGTTCAGTTCATAGAGCCGGCTTTTAGAGCGATCGACACATCACTAACGTGTTCGCTAGCAAGATGGTTAAGGTTAGGATAGGGGTGAGGGGAAGGTTAAATAAGAGGATAAGGTTAAATAAGAGGATAAGGTTAAGGTGAGGTACAATGAGCTTGTTTGGTGCCCTGGCTGCGGACGTCCCATCGCGTCAGTGTAACGCTGCATTGGGATGCAACGGTAGCGGACATCCCATCCCTTCAGTTTTACGCTGCATTGGGATCTGCAGTCAAATAAGGGAAAAACCCCTTTTCGCACATAAGTAACGAAAAAGGGC